CCTATTCAGCTTGGTGGGTTCCGGCCCTCCCACCCACGCCCAAACTCGGGCTTCAGCCCCCTCCTTCCATCTTTGAGAAGAAACAGGGCCAACTCCGGGAGAAATACGTTTGTTAGCGTATTTTGGGGGTAGGTTGCGTCATTTTCATTCATTAGTCCCCAACCCAACTTGCGAAGCTAAGCCCCCGCGCCTGGGTTGTTTGCAGCCAAGGGCTGCAGACGACGCACGCTTCTCACGACTAATAAGAAACCTAGTTATTTGCTATTTCATACTGTCATAAACAAATCGTGAATTTGAACGTGAATCTTGGCTGAAAAGTCTGTGAAATCACTCATCGCTGGAGCGTTGGAAACATACTGTGTCACCACCGATTTGTGACGTCAGCACTCGTATAGCATAGCTTGTAACATATTTCTATCACCTGCTAAAAACGACCCGGATTAAAGCTACTATGGTTAGAAGCGATTTGTCACTCGGCTTGCTAATACAGCAGACACGCCAATGCTTCGACAGATGTTCTACACAAGCACACGCTGTAAACGTTAGTGGTTGCATACCAATGCAAAGCTTTGACTTTGTTGTAACAAGGGTGATCTTTGAAAATTCGATTCCATCTTTGCAGTTTGTCACCGGATAGCTCGCAAAAGCATCTCATTCACATCCAATAGATCGGAAGCTGTTTCGCCTTGTCTGGAGGCTCGACGGATATCGATGATTCATTCTCCGTTCTGAAGAAGACTGGAAAGCATTGGAAGAAATCCCGATGAGGCCTAAAGAGACCGTGGAAAGACTCTCTCCCTCCAGACATGAAGGATTGGTCTTGTTATGGGGGCATGCCCGCTGCCGAGCGTGGGGACACTGTCTGCACCTTGGGGAGATCTGTACCTACACTGCTGTCTGCACCTCAGAAGCGATCTGTACCTACACTGCTGTCTGCACCTTGGGAGTGATCTGTACCTACACTGCTGTCTGCACCTTTGGAGTGATCTGTACCTACACTGCTGTCTGCACCTTGGGAGTGATCTGTACCTACACTGCTGTCTGCATCTTTGGAGTGATCTGTACCTACACTGCTGTCTGCACCTTTGGAGTGATCTGTACCTACACTCTGTCTGCATCTTTGGAGTGATCTGTACCTACACTGCTGTCTGCGCCTTGGGAGTGATCTGTACCTACACCGCTGTCTGCGCCTTGGGAGTGATCTGTACCTACACTGCTGTCTGCGCCTTGGGAGTGATCTGTACCTACACTGCTGTCTGCACCTTGGGAGTGATCTGTACCTACACTGCTGTCTGCGCCTTGGGAGTGATCTGTACCTACACCGCTGTCTGCGCCTTGGGAGTGATCTGTACCTACACTGCTGTCTGCGCCTTGGGGTGATCTGTACCTACACTGCTGTCTGCGCCTTGGGAGTGATCTGTACCTACACCGCTGTCTGCGCCTTGGGAGTGATCTGTACCTACACTGCTGTCTGCGCCTTGGGAGTGATCTGTACCTACACTGCTGTCTGCACCTTGGGAGCGATCGACTGAGACGGGAAGAGGCTCAGTCCGCTCTGGTTGAGCCCCTGACCTCCACCAGCACCGGAGCTGGGAGCGGTCCGGCGTCGGTGTGGCTGTTCTAAAGACAAAATGCAGGTTTAAGCAGTTTTCAGGAACAACGGATGTGATTCTTCAGAAGTATTCTGTATGAATTTGCATGCATGAGCATCCACGCTATTCGGAAACTTAAATTTCTCTGGTAAATTGTCATGTGACGCAATTTCACGAGAAATTGTTTTGCAAAGCTTTCCCAAGTGACTGTTTTAAAAAATGCGGAGACAAGAAACTGGAGAGCAAGTAGATTCTGCTGGATGAGAAACAAGAAATCGTCCTGGCAAAAGTGTGTGTCTCCGTACCCAGATGATCCTGCACTCCATGGTGCGCAAATGCAGCCGATGGATCCACGCGCTGTTTGGGGCGATTCGAAGATCAACATCAGTTCTCAGTAACCAGAGCAGATAAAGACGTGAAGCTAATTATACGGTCTAGGCGAATCTGTCGAGAGCAGCTTCTGGTCAACAGATTCCAGAACTGTATGATCCAACGGTGCGCCAGTAATCCAAGGGAGAGCGGTTGTGGTCATTTTGACCGAAACCCATATCGAACACCAGACGGCGTGGCCTAAACTGGATATTAGACCATGAAAACGGCGCAGACATGCAGTGCTGTTTATTGTGACCAATATCAACTCGAAATGTCTGCGGTGTCCTCAATCCCTCGGTCACAAACATGAAACCAGGAAATCACTGCCCTTTGGTGAAGTCGCATTGCCAGGATTTGTTTACTTGGTCGTGCTTAGGAGCTCATCAGCTGCGGTGGTCATATTGCGTCCTCTAAATTGCCGGGACCCGGTTGGATGGCTGGTTGGCTTGGTCGAGGTCACGTGACGCGCTGTCGGAGCAGCGGCCGGGTCGCGCCGGTGCGGCCGCCAGTCTTCTGCAGGTGCTCACGGACGTTGGAGGACTCATTTGCGGGACATGGCGGACACAAACGGTAGGTTGTTGAACGGTCGGGTCAGAGTCGCGCCACATCATTCGTAGACATTGGCTCGGCTGCCCTTGAATGGCAGAGGCGGGACGGCGCGCCACGGCCCGGCTCGTGGCAGCGGGCCTGTGGCCAGAGCGCGGGCACGTTCGGTGCTCTGGACTTTGGCTGCATTCTGCACCGGTGTGGCGAGCAGATTGCGAGGATGCCGTCCGTGTGCCGCCCGGATTAGAAGAGCTGTGCCACTGTGTGACTTCCCAGCACTGTTGCCGGTTTGAGAGACGCTATTATGCCTAACAAAACCAAAAGGTGTCAAAACATTTCCAGGTATTGCTTCGCAGTCGTCGGGAAGCTTCTTCATGATCGGCAGTCGCAGCGATTATCTTGTTTCCATCGCGGCGTGTTGTTGTTTTTCGTAAGAAGCAAGACACGCATTGTGAACTCAAAGCAATCCTACCAGCAGAAATGTATGACATGCTGTGGATAACGTGCATTAGGTGGAAGTCAGCTGACTTGTCTGAGCTACACACAGATTTCCTTCCGTTTGCAGAGGCTGAGTGGGCGCAAGCAGGTCTGATGATTTGGCTTAGCTAGAACGCTTGTTTAGATCCCGTTTGCAAGGTCATCCGTAAAATCCTTGAAACGTGATCTGACTCTTTCTTATAATTCATTGCAGCTGCCCACAACTTGCAGCCGATTGTAGCCTGGCATGATCAGACAAGCTGCATGTTTGTGTTTAATTTGCAGGGTTCAGGGCCATCTGAATACGAGGGATGACCTTGCGAATGATCTACTTAGTATGCATGCTGATTAAATTCTGTTCAGATGTTCAGATAATCCGTTCAATACTCCGTTTAAACAGTCAGCAGTCTGTGAGCGGCTTATCCTGTGACCGGAGGTATCGTCAGCTTGACACTGCACGCCTCCAAACACTTCATAGTCACTTGAGCATAATTTGGTGAGCCGGATGATCGGTTGCCGTTTTGAACGGGCGGACTGCAACATTACGCAGTCATTCACCGAAGCATCCTGCGCCCGCGGCATCCAACACCCACAAAGTGAAGACATCTGGCATGTGTTGTGGGTCGGCCGTTGTCAAATGAAAGCCACCCGCGTCGACTTCCACTCTAACGTCAGCAGTCCCCGGACGCTGTAAGTATGCGGCCCCCAGCGGACATCCGTCGGTTGGCGACGGTGTTTGTTTTGACGACTCGGTCGGGCAGGACGCCGCTGCGCCACCTCCACATCGCCGCTGCGGGCGGCTCGTGGGGGGGGGGGGGGGGGCGAGAGCCGGGGCGCCGGGCGGCGGCGCCAGCTGCTCCGGCCGGTCGGGTCACCGCCAGCTGACGGGCCGTGACCTGCCGCCGGCGCAGGAAAGGGCGCGAGAGGAAGAGCCCGGCTGGCGTTGGCCAGGCAGCGGCCAGGTGACGTTGGGCGCTGTTGGGTGGCCAGGCAATAATGTTGCAGTGTAGTACGCGCCAGGGGTTGGCAATAACGGCTCACGGCACCGTAAACTTCGGAAAACGCGCCAACACTTTTGAGCTGCTAGGCGATACGTAACAAGACAGGGCGGAAACGTGTTGCGTTGTGTGCTATAATGTGTAGTAGAATAGCATTGGTGCTGACAGCATGTTTGTTTTCATTAGGCCTTTGGCCAATGGTGAAGTTGTCCGGTAATGAATGGGAGTAGCATCTATTTATCTCAACAATATCAGTAGTAAGCGATTAATTCGACGTTTTATCATCATTCAGCAACTAAGAGCACCGTTGCTGCTTATTAGATATATATTGTCAATAACGCCGAAAATTGAGGTCAATGCTTTGATATTGTGATGATGTTACAAAATTTATGGGGCCTATTCAACAAATTGAACGGCAGCAGAATGTTCCGTTAGTATAAATCAAGGCTTGGCAGCGCAAATGGATTTCGCGAGACAGACATTGGGCGCTCGATATCTCCAGCCGTCAAAACACCTCTCTCATATCCCTTACATCGGCCGGCGTCTCGCTGTCCGTGCCAGGGCGTCTGCCAAGATCAGCCGGGCGGCGCGCCGCGAAGTCGACGCGCTGGCAGCGTCCCGGAGACAAGTCGTCGGCTTCGTGCCGGCGCCTTACGTTAGAGCATCCTTGACGTCCCTCGGGCGTCATCAAAGCCCCGTCCGTCTGGCGGCTGGGGTCGTCATGAGACCAGCCCCAGGGGGCGCCGCGGGCGATTAGTCGGCGGCCAGGGTCACCGCCAGGGCCGGATTTGGCGCTGCCTGCGGTGTCTGGTTGGCTTGTCCCGCTTCTGGCACGGGCTTGGCCATTAGTGACATCCCTCGAGGCACATCTGCACTTTTGTAATTAAAGGCAAAAGCATAATGACGTCGATGACCCGGTTACATGAGATGCCCGAAGGCTAAGGCCTCAAACAAGACGCAGGTGATGTTCCAGCAACACATTAAGCTTTCTCGGAGGTATACGCATCTGAGAGAAATGGCTCGCGCACCGACATTGCTGGCCACCATTACAGAGAAAAAGAAAAAGAAGAAGAGCAGGAAGAAGGAGGCGGAGGCGGCGGCTCCTGCCCCCGATCAGGAGCCGGCCGACCCTATGCAGGAACAGGAGCGAGAGTGGCCGCCTCAGGTCATCGACGGTATGCGATAAGCTTCGTGTGATGCTATTTGGCTCTAGTCGAGAGAGCATCTGTCGAAGAACCTTTCCAGGAAATAGCCGACCATGGAAACGCAGCGGCACGTAGCAACGTAGCACAGACGTTACCGTGTCTTCTGCACGTTGTACAGTGCACGGTTGCTGGGTGAAGAGCGCAGTGTTAGATACCACTGCTACGTCACCGTAGGATAGGCGCTACACGCCATGAAACAAACGTGTGCAATAGTCTGTAGTTTGGACCAGTTGTCCTAGGCGCAGCCAAATGTTGTCAGGGGACCATAGGCTCGTCGCTAGACCGTTTGGACACATTGGTTGGATACCGGCGCATGTTCACCCATACGGCCCACATAGGCGTGATAGCCACCAGAAGCACTCCGTCTGCGCCTTCCCCTCCCCTAGCAGGTGCAAAGTGCTTGAATGCATCATCTAGCGAAGGTGCAGCTGCAGCTGTAGATAGGTTGGTATCCAAGAGTTGCCAAGCTGAGAAATAAATACTAATGGTGATTCGAATGGCCGTGTTTGTGTGCAGTGTTGGTAGCCCACAGTCACGTGTTAGAGTACCCTCTAATCTACGAACTGGAACACAGTAAACAGTTCTAATGAATACGAAAAAGCTTCTTCTTCCCCGTTATCTAACAGATATCTAGGGCACTAACAGATTAAGTGCTGTAGCCGGAGTCACAAGCATCGCCTTCTGAGACACTGTAAAATCGTGAAGGCTGCAATGTGAGCGATTAGTCTCATTGAATGTTCACTTAGGAACTGTTTTTGGTTAATTTGCCTGTTAGTCAGAAAGCACCTGGCATGATTCATAATGCTGCAAATTTGTAAAGAAAATTATCTGAATCTGCGTTCTTCCGAGTTGTCCTTAAAAAAGTCGGCTCACTTGGTGTCAAAAACTTAAAATTGTCGTGTCTCCAGAAAACAGGGCCACACAAATGTAATGTTTAGTTATTTGATGCGAACTATGTGGTATGATAGGTAAGAGAGCTGTTAAAACAAAAACAAAATGTAGCTAAAAAAGTTCAATCTAAAATGTAGAACTCAACTTATGTCCTCGGGTCTGTCATGTAGACGTTGACCATGTAACCGCACCCGTGACATTGAGCAGGTCATTCCAGGGAGGATGAAAAGCGGCAAGGCATCTCATATCTCTGGAAAATCTAGCATGATGTTTCTTTCCTGAACCCTGGAGTGCTTTAGACGTCTAGACCACAGGTTGCATGAATCTTTTGTTATCAGCCATGCCCGTCAAAGGAGTTGTCTTGAATGATCTCCTCCCGGAAAGCCATTAAGGTATCTTTAGTAGAAATTAAAAAGTTGGTTAAGGTTTACCATTAGCAGTTGACAGATAGTTGCCCGTAAAAGAACCTAGGCCTGTTAAATGAACTCACAGACTGATGATTCCAGAGAAGGGCATAAACTATGACTCTACGAGACAATGTTTTGTTTTCAACAAATACAAGGCAGCGGAAATACTGGCAGCTCGGTAACGTTGTGTCCAGCTGAATTCACCTTAATAGTACGGCCGAAAATAATGTCATATTTGAGAGCGAGTTCTTGCTCTCAAATATATCTGAAAGCACCGATATACTGCAATGATTCCTTTGTGAACGCAAATAGTTCAACACATGATTACACTGTGAAGACCAAACCAACATGACAGGGAAAAAGAAAGTCGGGGCGTCATCAGGAGATGACGTAAATGTCTACTCAGTTCACTTAGAACCGATTTTTGGTGGAGCCAATTCCTACAGATAAAGACTGTCATCGCGCTTGCTAGGATCGTACGCTTCCAAAGGAATGTGCATTTGCTGGATGTTGTCAAATCGGAGGACGGTCGTGATCGGTGCGGAGCTCGGCAGCACGCCGCGCGGTAGAGTGTGCCGCATGGCTCCGACGTCCGGCGGGATAGCCCGCCAAGTGCCAGCTGGGGTTTACCAGAGCGTGTGTTGGAATGATATTGACGCCCACAGCACAAGGCTGAATAAACGTAAGCGTATTCCACAGTCAGATTATGACAGCCACCATTCCACCGGGGAAACCGCCTTGGAATACGGACGCAGAGCTGGGCCGGCGCCACGGTCGGTCTGACGCTGATGCCGATGCCTATACCGCACCAACACGTGTTGGCAGAAGTGTCAATGTTTTTAAACTATTGAGGGGGGACGAGCCAAAAGCCCGACAACTTACCCACCCACCCCCATTGTTCTCACCGGATTTAGCCCACTTTATTTTGATAAAACGCAATAAAGTACTTTTATAAGTTACGCTCTGTATAATTTATAAGTCTTTGATCTAAGGAGTGTTGAAGTCATGTAGGGTTGGATCCAGGGAACAGGCACTGGACGCATGCGTCTCTTCAGATCGACACGTGAAGGCGCTCCTTTAGAGGCCACCTTAGGGCGCCGATGGCGCTCTTCTATGGCGGTCACGGGAGGCGGTACGCGTTTTGGTAGTGGGGGACGGAGACGGGGTTAGCCATGAAGGACTTAGGTTATCCCCGTATTCCAGAGCTTTTCACTTAAACCTCACAAACCAATGCGTGTCTTATGGGGCTAAGCATGCGCAGTTTATTGCCATTGTTTATCCGCTCAGATGCTACGACTTATATCTTGTGGTGAGAGCAGCCATGGCTTTCTGTTATGAGAGTGGCACGAGACGCCACTCGGCAGACAGATCAAAAGAAGACAGTCTTCTTGTTATGATCATCTTTAACCCCCTCTTTGTAGCATTCCAGCCAAAAACATTGGGGACAAAGTCAACATTTGGGAGCCCAACTCAACATTGAGGGGCCAGGGCCCTCACAAAAGAATACGAATCGACACCCGTGGGTGTCGGGGTGTCGACCCAGTTGATGTAGAGAGGGCAGACGATCTTTGGTCCGAAGGGTCATTGTCTATCGCCGCAGCACGCGAAACGAAAACGACGAAAACTCCAGTGTCCGTGTTTCAATGGCAATCTTTGATAATCTATGGCGACTTTCAGAGCCTGACCCCGAGCTGGTGCAGGATGAAGGTAACGCATGATTTGCGCGAGGGTAGTAGACTGTGTGATAATCTCCTGCAGTAAAACGTCTGTGAACTATGCGTGCAGTCCGACTTCAGTGCTAGAGCAGAGACCATACCGACAAGCAGTAGACTGAGCGTTAGGCTCAGGTGCATCTAGTTCTTCGTTTTGAGCAAAGTTTGGGCAATCTGAAGTTATGCGTAGCAGGCACTGTCATTGCATGCATGTGCACGTATGACTGTGCAACTTTGCTTTTCCATTCTACATGTTTTGAGTAATGTTGTGCATTGAATGTACTTAATAAATAGGTACGTTCTTCGCATGCAGCCTATACAGAACATATCTGTAATGTGTTTAAATCCAAGTGCAATAATGTTTTCAACAGATAAGCTCAGCACCACCGTTGTTAAGTTGACTTATAGGATGTTTTTACGTATATATGAATATTGTAGGCATAATTGTATATGTACATGTATATTTATATATATATATATATATATATATATATATATATATATATATATATATATATATATATAGTGTGTGTGTGTGTGTGTGTGTGTGTGTGTGTGTGTGTGTGTGTGTGTGTGTGTGTGTGTGTGTGTGTGTGTGTGTGTGTGTGTGTGTGTGTGTGGTGTGTGTGTGTGTGTGTGTGTGTGTGTGTGTGTGTGTGTGTGTGTGTGTGTGTGTGTGTGTGTGTGTGTGTGTGTGTGTGTGTGTGTGCACGCATGCGCCTGTAAGTGTCGTGATTGAGCGCATATGTGGTAGGTGTTCTGTGTCAAAGATTACCTTTAAATTCCCCGATAGTTGCAACACATCCCTCAGCTATTCTGATATTTTGCAAGATTGCGAATGAGTTAAGCGTATTTAATGAACAAAGTTCGGGGAGTGTGCTCAGAACCCGGCACACAAATTGCGTTGTTCAGGTCAACCACAGATGTTTCCTCTACCTTCCCGCCAGAATGGACTGTGAAAGGCTCCGCGTAAACACAGTGCTACGGCACGGTCGCCCTGGGCCTGGGCTGACTGGTCTTGGTCGGCTGTGAGCCGACGATTCTACACCAGTCAGGCCAAATAATGCGTCGCCCGCGCTGGGATTCGAACCTAGTGACCGCAGAAGCCGGCTCCAGAATCCTTCAACCGGCTACCGAGGCAGCCTGTTCACAGACACACATAGATATGTTGGTGTATATCTACCGGTCAATCGCCTGCCTAGCCTGAGTATTCTCCCCTCCCGGAAGCAGCAAATCCGGCATTGGAGGGATGTAGCGTCAGACAGATACAACTTCCAACACGGAGCGCTGAGTGGACACCACAGTGTAGAGCCTGCTCGTTGCACCGTAAAAAACGGCCAACACTCTGATCGGCTTTGTCGCCAAACTGAACGATTGACCTGATTGGTTCTGTTTCTGTGCTGAGCGCTCTAATTGGTTTATCTGTGCTGAGCATTCTGATTGGCTGTGTCGGCAGAGGCGCCGTTGAACGAGGCTCTGGTGAACGGCGAAGCTCCACCGCTGGGTGATGGACTGGACGAGCCGCCGCAGCAGATCGAGAAGAGGAAGTCGCCCTACCCGGTCTTCTGGAACCGGCCCAAGGCCAGAATGTACCGCATGAACTTCGACTACGGCGAGACCTACTACAGCAATATGATGGCCTACCTTAACAGCAAATCTGGCAGTGAGTTATGCAGTTACCAAGGACTCTTCTACTGGGAGGAAATGGGGTAGCGCAGGTAGCAAAGCTGACAATTCGGGCCAGATGGAAACGGAAACTTGGGAACTCTGTGATCCAATAAGGGGCAGTAGATTGGAGAAAGATAAGCACCAGGTATACCGCATTACATGCAGAGAAACAAACCAATGCCCAAGTTGTTGCAGAGAGAAAACAAACAAAGCAATATCCCCAGTCCCCAATCCACGTCTACAACCGTCACTCTCATATGTTGCCTTCCTGGTGGTCTTGAGCCCGCGGACGATTTGAGGACATTTATGAACTGTGATGATTACAACTACCGATAAAGACGCCGAACGTTTGAGCTGGCGACAGCATACTGGCGCGTGACAGCCGCCCTGACGACAGTATACTGGCGCGTGACAGCCGCCCTGACGACCACCGGAGTGCGTGTCGGCCTCTCGCCAGCTCCAATCGGCCAATAGCAGCGGGCGACGCGTGGCGCGCGGGAGAGACGGCCGGCACCCGTCCCGGCCGCAGACGGCTTGGCACGGCTGCACACACCGCTGTCGCGCCAGATGAGGCGCCGAGCTCTCGGCCGCGACGACGGCGGCTCTCATTAACGGCAGACGAGCTGCGGCATTCCTCTCGGTTGGAACGTGACTGGAGTGAGGAGCGCTGACTGAGAAATCGTCCGGGCGTCGAAGTTCGTAAAGCCCTGGTGACTCAGAGTCTTATCTGCATACAGCCGTGTTTGTGGGCTTTAGTTTGGCATCGCGGCTGTGTTTCTAGTCACCGCCGACGCCGAGAATTACCGACCGAATTGATGTCTTCACTGGCCCATTGAATCACACAGCAAGCAGTGGTGGTGTATTACTGGAGGCAAGGGGCCAGTTGTCCCCATCTCCGGGCAAATTTTTCATTAACCTCATGACAGTGCATAAAAAGACACGAAGCAAAAGAGGCGTTTGCCCCATCTCTACGGAGGCTCTGCCACCATTGCCGCCAAGTGGCTTGAGCTCTTCTTTATAAAACCTGTTCAGCGACGCGTTCACTCCCCCTTCTCTCTCCCCTTCCCTCCCAATAACCGTCAGCCTCTCAGCAAGAAGCAGCCCGGCTGCCCCGTCGTGCGGCGGAGGCGGCTCAGCCACCACTCCTATTATGGCGGTGTCCTGGGTCGCCTGGACGGCCGGACGCTGCGGCTATATCCGCCGCGCGCCGGCTTGGCCGCAGACAACGGCGGCTAAATCGGGCGGCCGTCGCCGCCGTCCGCTGTCGCCGTGTCGCCGGCGGCGGGTCCGAATAGCCAGGATTGTTGGCCGCCGGCGCTGGCAGCTGGCGGCCGGCGGCGAAACTGGCAACACGAGCCCGCTGCTGTCCTCCTGAGAGTGCTGCCGCGGACCCCTGCCGACCGCACCAAGGGCGGTTCCACACAGCGCTCTGGCGAGGGTCCAGGCCATGGACCAACCGCGGCCGATGACGGACTGGTGCGCTTTTACAAGAAACGGGACCGCGGTGGGACCATGGTGGGGTAGATACAGCGAGCAGACCTCAAGCTATATACCCAACATTGCAGGTGACGGTCTATTTGGACCCACTAATCCAACAGGATGTCATTTCCGTCAACATCTACATCCAAGGCAAGATATATATTCTTAGGTCTTTGCATTCAAGCGTTCAATCTCACCACGAAACTTATGTTCGATTTTAAAGCCCTCATGGTCGAGACCAGTAGCTCTTCCACATTCGTGTTAGCAAGGAAAGAGGTGCTGACATAATAAGAGAGTCTCACACAAAGGTATGTGACCTCTTAGTCATGTTCTAGATCTTTGAATATATAGCATGATCTGCATCATGACTGTCTATGATGTTATACAACGTTTTTCCAAGACACCAAGCCTGCTTCATCATAACGAGTCCACGATGGGCTCGCGGCGAGTACTTACCGTGTATTGACATCCTAATGCGATTATTTTCGTTTCAGGCATCTACCGCAATAACATGCCGCCACCCAAGGCACAGTCGTGGGCGGAGCGGGCGCACAAGTCGGCGACGCTGCGCTACCCCCGCCAGGAGGCCGACCTGAGCGCCATGCTGCAGTCGGTGCGCTCCAACATCCGAAACTACGACATGCACCACCGCCAGTACACCTCCAAAGTGCAGAGCGTTTACGGCGGCTCTAAGGCGCTGTGAAAGCTCACTCGGTCGCCTAGTGAATGTTGGCAATGAGCATCAGGCCACAGCAGCGCCGCCTAGCAATAGCACCAGGAGACAGGAGCTTCCACAGGTCGACGGGCGGCGGGAGGCGACCGAACGCAAATGTCACTGGAATGTGAGACAAACCGTATTTAAGGGACATGCCTATGTCATATGAGCTTCCCATTCTGGTCTCAGCACCGGTAATGAAATGGCCATCAAGTGTGAAACGCATGTCCGCTCAATTTGCTATTTTGAGATTATGTTTGCACCAACGGAGTCGTCGCGGGTCGATCAATTGACTCTAATGTGGAATTATGTACTCATGAGAACTGGATGCTAAAGTAGGGTATGGTGTGCCCATCAACCATGTCCCCAATAATCGTCTCGTAAGCTTGTGTGAAAGGGTATTTTCTCAATTATTCTGGCGTAACAACTTGCCAATGCAGCAAGATAGAGAAAACATTCACGATTGTATCCTGATGAGTACGAAGCAAATTTCCGCGACGATATTGGGCAACTCGAGCATAGAGCCATGTTCTTGGTCACATCAAAGCATGCCCTGTGTTCTGTCTGTGCTGCTTCTATAAGTGCAGCTATCCGTTGTATCCATGGCACTGATAATACACCCGTCATGACCTTGCAGTGGATGTATGAAGCATAAAGTGACATTTTCCACGTATCGGGCCATTCAAAAGATCCCTTTCTGACTAAGTAAAGATCAGAGAGGCCACTGATATAAGTGACTGCGTTCAAGCTTTTCTCTGAGGCATGCTGCATTGGGTTAGTATTGGACAACGTTTATAAATTCAAATATCAAAATCATGTCATATTCTTGGTCATTTTCATCTTCTAATAGTCAAGGAAAGTCCTTGATCTGATATAAACACCATTAACTTTTGTTTGTAGGAGGCATCTGGGTTGAAGCTGGTTGCGTGAGCAGGCCTGATGACATTTCGGACACTGATCTGGAATTTGGTATTCTTTAACCTTATTTGACCCGTAGGCAGCACTGTAGGGGCCTCAAAATTTTCATAAGTGAGGGAAAATAAAGTCCCACCTACCGCGTGAATCTGGTGTGTCTAGCTTTTTGGAGATATCAGGGGAGGGGGAACAAACTGAGCAGGTCACATTCAACCAAACATCCGGCCGTATGTTAAAAGTACTAGTATGTTGTATCATTAAATACAACGGATAATTAGAGATCAGCCATCACAACAAAAACACGTTGAATGAAATCCTAACACATCAGTTGGAGACAGTTCATGGACTACAAGATGAAGTTTCGACATTTCCTATCTCTGTTCCGCTGATTATGCTTTGGCTAAGCCAGGCTAGGCTGGCTATGTCTTATCGACCCCAGGCTGCAAGGCCATGGCTAGACCAAAGCCATGCTGTGGTGATGGTCACAGCGAAGCCATGGCAGCCATGACAAGACCACGGCCACGTTGTGTTAAGCATAACATCTCACACAGATATCGCCCGTTCGGCCCTTAACTAAACGAGTGGTGCGAAACGAAATAGGTGTGCTGCTTGTCGTCGGCAGAACCCAATAGTACCAGCCTCTGAAAATTCAAGACTTTTATGAAAAAGTTTGGCATGATTTACAACTACAGCTGGCCTTAACAATGCATCAGGGGCGCAGTTTCGCAGAATGAAGTGAAGAGGAGGCTTAGTGGTGGGAAAATGAAAAACCTGGCCGAAAATACGCCAGCAAACAGGCTTTTCTCCACATTTAGTATAATTTCTTCTCGAAGTTGGTGGAGCCCATGTTGGGGGTGGCTGGAGCCCGCTCCCTCCAATTGATTAGGAAACTACATCCCTGAGATGCGTTGCGTAAAAGAGGCATTTTCCCATTGCTACCCTCCGTGAAGACTCAAAATATCTCCTTTCCATGTTACATCCTTGCATTAGGAGGGGCGGTTCGATAAGACCCCCTGTCATTTTCAATCTAATAGTCCGCTGAAAAACATGCAGCGCGCAAGCCTCGGCTTGATCTCGCGAGTGGCTACAACTACAATGTAGCTAGGTTGGTAGTTGATCCCGCCAGGCTAGGACAACGGGAAATTTTCCTGAAAATCGGACTTTTTCAAATTTTCGTGAACATATTTAACAAGCCATGCTGCACATCAGCACGGAACTTACATAGCCGTGTTCTTGGAAAGCGTTGCTACTTAGCTATCCAGGAATACTAGAACGTGCTATTGGTCTCAAAACATGCGTGATTAATATCCAAAGACTACTGAGATCTTTTGCGAGGTTACACGAAATGCCCAGAAAATCTAAGGACGGGGTTGCATGGCTTCTCGTTCCGCCGTAGTTTTGCCGTCCAATTGTTTCATCGGCCGCCATTGCAACAGATGTGGCTTACCCGTTGTTCACGATGCAACTAACACCCACGAAACGCACCAAGGTCGTTGCAATGCAGGAACACCCATCCAAGACCCAAAGACACAGAAGGAGAGGGCAAATAATGGGCTGAAATACGTTTAAGTTGTACGCGGAAGGTTGTGAGGTTGGACGTGTGCACGATGTCCTTGGAGGCCGATAGGAGCACTATCGGCCGGCAATGTAAATTGCTCATCGGCATACCTGATCTTTTTCTCCTCAAATCATCCCTTACAAACCATTAGTAACTGCGGTCTAACGGCACATCGGTTGATGGCCAGCATGCGACGCTCGGTAAAAATACTTATTATCGCGCACGATGCGGGTAATTATCATTTGAAGAGCGATTACTACAAATTAGAGGACAATTCCACAACAGCTCACCACCGGATGAACTGTCGGGCTCACCTTGGCATCTTTATCATAGCCTGTCCGGCCGCGATCATTTGGTACAAAGGTTTTTTTCTAAATGCCATGTTACGTCCATGATGCCGTTAGTTTGCTGGGTCGCATAGGTCACGAGATATAGATCGCCAAATTTGGCATTGACATCACAGCTGATCTACAAACAGTGTAGCAAAGTTACAAATAGCTATCAGATGCTCAGAGGCCACTCAGAGCCACAAACGATTGCCTAGAACTGCGCTAGACCAGAAATGTGCGTTCCTACCTCCGAAAAGCCTTCAAACTTTGCTCTGATACGACTCTGCTAAAAACGGTGAACTGCAAAGCATCGAACAACTTCTGATAAATAATGACTATCCAACAAAATCGTCGACAATGAAATGAAAAACTTGATATCGCGATATCAAACGAAAAACGACAACGTCCAATATCAACAACATCAAATCGAAGTCTTCTGCTGTGCAATGACGACACAGATACTGGGGTAAATGACTACCAGGACAAATGACTACCAGGACAAGTGACTACCAGGACAAATGACTATCGCGACAAATGACTGTCGCAACAAACGACTACCGGAACAAATGCGTGCATCTTGATCGATAGATTAGGTTTATTGGATTGTAGTAAGATATGCTCATTTATACAAGAAGACCTGCGATTAAGTTCTAGATAATTTCGTCCATTCCGGGTGGGTACGCCCTCCCGGCATTATGACGTGGCCTCGTATGGACGATTGGGCCCCCAATCGCTACATTGAGATCAGGTAATGAACGATACCAGACAGCTAGACAAGTGAAGAACAAGGGAATTACTGGCTGTAAAATAACTCAACGCACATGGCTTGACCTACGTTTTTTTCGCAATTCCAGTTCGTTCGTTGTGCAAGTAATGATTTAAAGATTTCTCGTCGGAACGAGTTTAATTGATCATAAGATAGGCAAACATGTGACTGAAGCCGTTAAAACGACTGCTGGATCCGACCCCATGATCCCATAACCATAGACTACTGCGTGATCCTGAATCAGCCCATAGGATCAAGGCACATGTCTGCTGGTAGACACAGAAAAATATGGATCAATTTAAAAACCTTGGGCAGTGACTCAAAAAGCTGATCGCTGGTGAGCCCCAATCCCCATGCGGTTACGGGGCAGTCCCATAGCCATGCCATATTCTGACTGTCGGTGGCCATTCTGGCCCCACCTGGGACCGCTTAGACTTCATTACTATTTCTGCTGCAAGTTAGCTCAGCTTACCGCTGGCAAAGTTCTGTCCAGTTACACTCCAGCTACAAAGCTGGAGCCAGCGATTCACACCGGTCGGAGGCCATGTATCTGTCAAGGGCCCGCAATCCCTAACAGATCCTGCAATCCCGCAAGGGGCCCGAGCCGACCAAGAACAGTGTTCAGTGAGGCCTGTAGGGCGGGCCGGGCGGCCCACCGAAACCGACGACCAAGACCCTGATTGGAGAGCATAAGGGCCCGAGGGGCCTGCTGATTTCCACAGAAAGAATCGCGGCTCGTAGGGTCCTGACCTGAAATATTAGTCAGAGGGCCTCCTGTACCGTTTGAGGAACCGCAGGGCCATTGCGGGTGTCTAAGTCTGCCAGAGACTACCAACACCGAACCGGTGGCTCCCTGTCAGTCTAAACCCTGGGGGTCCATTTCCCAAACAGGAACAAGACCGGGGCCACGATTTGCATTGGTCTGGGTCCCTAGAACAATGGTGGAGACCCCTGTGTCGGTCAGGGGCCCACAGTGCCTAACAGGACTCCTGTAGGGTTGAGTGAGCCCGAGTCGACCAGGAGCGGTGTTTGAGGGGCCCAAAGAGAGGTCGAAAGGTCTTTCGAAGACAAAAAGATTGAGGGCTCGATTGGAAGGCTGCAGTGGTCCAAGGGACGGCTCTGGGTCACATTAAGGACCCCCGTCCGCCGGCGACGTGATCTCAAATATCAGATAGAGGACCTCTTGCACCGATTGGGGGACCCCTGAGACAGAGCGTTCCGCTTTTTCGGTCGGAGATCACCAATGCCGAACAATCGGCTCCGTGTCAGTCTGAGGTCTGGGGGCCCAATTCTCAAGCAGGGGCAAGGCCGCGCAAGCGATTTACATCAGTCGAGACCCCTGAAAAAAATGCGGGACTCTTGTTTCTGTCAGGGGCTCAGAGTGACTAACAGGGTGGCCTGTGTCAACAAGGGCCCTCGAATTGGCCAGGAGAATATTTGCTGAATAAGGACGGGGACGGGACCACGAACGCCCAAGAAGCGCCACGAATCTTGCG